TAATTAACCTTAATCAATATATTTCGAATTACTATTTCTATTACAATTATGGATATCTCGTCATAATTGATTTACGTATATATATTTTGTGTGTTGTCAACTTTTTCCATGTCCCCTCATGTTCCTATGTTAATATTCTGTCACATGTGCTCTTAGATAACAGTGTGAAAATACCTGATAAGTTGTCACAGTACATATATTGACACACATGATTCACAGTTTCTTAACTAAACTCATAGTTAACATGCTCAACCCCTTCCAGTTCTTTGAGATGAGAAGTTAAAACAATAATAAAAATCCAAATCAGCATTTCCACATCTCTCATCTGGGTGTTCCATTTCGTTCTTTGTCTGATGTTTTGAACCCCTCCCTCCGATATAGTCACTGAAGTTGTCATTTCTTAGCCATTAAGATCAATAACTATTATTTTGAAGTTTCAAGGCTCAAATTCAAAAGCGCAGTCAATTTTGAAGTCTTAGGTTCATTACAGTCAATGTAACATTGAAAATATATAATTGTAATTGTACGAGGGAAAAGAATGTGGATACTAACAATTATAGATCCATATTTGCCAGAATTTGAGGCTTGTTCCACTCGGGAATGCAGAAGGCATAAATCCTTCCATCGGGAATGCCCCATCTTGGCCCTTGGTAAAGACCAATCGTGGACAACACTGAATTAATTCCCGAGCAATACCTGTAGTAGGGAAAAACAAGTTTTTATAATTAAGGAAAAAAGGGAGTAATCAATTTCATTGTTATAAGATTAAAACTCTTACCAAATTTCATGCCCATAATAAAGGTGCGAAGAAGTCCAGCACCGTATGGTCCTTTTTCTGGCATTAGATCTTGGAAGGGAGTGACGGAGTAAAGATAATCAACGATATCCCATTGTTCATTCATAGAAGCCAAGACAAGTGGAGTCACATTATTGCGGTCCCGAGTGGGAATACTAAGTATTTTCTTGCTCTTTCTAACCATGCATTCAACCATTTTTATATTTCCTCTACTTGCAGCAAGAGCAAGAGCTGTCCAACCATCATTATCGGTTATTTCCAAGTCTTCCTCTGACATCACCTGCATCAACTCTTCCACAATATGCTCGTGCTCTAGTTGTGTTGCCATGTGAAGAGCTGTCTCTTTTGTAGATGGAAGTCTTGTTCTTATTGCATTGGGATGTAGGGTAAGAAACTGCTTTGCTTCATCCCAATCCCCACTCCACACAGCATCGAACAACGGCTGACATTGATGGAAGTCATTGTAATATCCTGAGCAAAGTTTGTTTAATTAATTTTATTAATAATTTCAGATAACATAATCCATTTATTTTTTGTGTTAATAATTGAATGGATTGTACCCATGCATATAATATGTATGTAGCTGTTTTTTTTTTCAGTCAGATCAAGAATATGTAGTTAGAAGTGTAAACGAATCATATATACACTGCTAGTTTATTTAAGGAGATTCACTATTATACCCAATATAAGGGCCAAAATTATATAATGAAAAAATAATATATGAAATGAACTTTAGAAATACACTTAAAGTTCATTTACAATATAACAAAAAGGCTTTGAACTTCCTATAAATTACAAAACTATTGTCGATTTGTTAAAACTAGCCCAACCCTAAAACTTCATAAAAACTAGCCCAACCCTAAAACCTCATAAAAAAAATCTAAATCACTCAATAGGGCATCAAAGTAATTTAATTAATATTAAAAATTAAATTCAATAGGGTCGGCTGTTTTTTTTTGGGTTTTTTTTTGTTTATTTATATAAATTAAATAGTGTAAGGTTTACCGGTATCACTAGTGCTACAAATGAGTATATAACTAAATTTCTCAATTATTTATTAGTTTTTATTTTTCGCTATAATTCCCAAGATTTTGATCCAAGAAGAAAAACAAGTTTATCATATGCAAAATGGCCCTACAAAGTGTCTCCTCAATTAATTGAAGGGGATGGCTGAAGTTAAAACTTCCACTCTTTTTTTGGGAGTAAAACCTCCACTTTTTGCAGCACGTTTGTTACATTAATATATGATTACGATTTGAAGTACACTTCGTTTTCCCTCCCTCATGAATTATATATAGATTGTGTCAATTTACCCCCAAACTTTTATTTCAACCAAATTTTCCCATAAAATATACAAAACTGGTTGATGTACCCAACTGTAATTCTTATCAATTACATCAACCATATCGTCAATTAAAGTCACGTTTTAAGAGACTCATTATCGTTTGACATCATATTCTTTACAAAAAGTGGCACTAATTGTCATTTTGCAAAAGTCAGGTGCTTAGCAATTGACTAACTTTTGAAGACTTTCAAGGCAACTTTTGTGTAAAGAATATGGCGTGGGATGCGCATTTGTTTTGCCTAACATCTTGAATGGAATTGCTCGGAATATGAGCGTGGGGTATAAATTGGGTAGTTTCATGATTCATGGGGAAATTAGCTATTTTAAAATAAATAAGTAAAGCCAAAGGGGTAAATTGACACCGTTAAATTTAATTTCAACATTGTTACACATGTAATTTGCATAAGTCCTTATATCCGTGTTAGTATAATAAGAAACATAAATAGTGGTCTTGTGGTTAATCAATTAAATGTTTAGAGTATAATTTGGTTATATATAATATATATATATATATATATATATATCTGGTTTAAGTCGAATATTTACTTCTCACAGATTTGTTGAGGTTCAAAATTTGAACCGGGGACTTACCTGGTTTTGGCTTGAAGTTTTCTGCCAAAGTATCCCAAGCGCGTTTGGCTGAACTGGTGTTTCTAATGAGGGAAGAAGCTTCCCGCCCGCACGAAATTTGGATTGTATGTAAAGCCGTGGCATTCTTCTCCCTCCAAGCTTTGAACTTATCATCAGCTTCTTCTTCTTCTTCGTCTTGTTCCACTACATCCCAAAGGTCTTGAGCCAACAAGTAAGTTTTAACCCATACACTCCAATCCACATAGTTACTGCTATCAAGAAGTTCCATAACAGCTGCATCTGCGGAGACGGCCATTCTTACCAAGGGCTTACTTAGGAGAGGCTTTGCAATTTCTGTTTTAATTACTATACCCAATTGAGTGAAGAACCACTTGTTAAAGCAATGGGTGAGGATATATATATTATATACCGTATACACACGCTCATTACAGAGTCTTTTTTTAATCAGAAGAGTCTTTTAATTGGGATAGGCCCCAAACCGCATTGTAAACCCAAAAACGCGTCTAATGGACCAGTTACCGCTGGTGTCTGTTTTTTCAACTCATTCACACTTGCTTTTGTTTGTGCCCGACCACATTATGAATTGACCCTCTGAAGCTAACTCTACTTAGGACACTTTTTCTCTCTCTCTTTTTTTTCTTTTTTGTTTTTGTTTTTTTTTGGTTTAATCTTTTCTCCTCCGTCTTCTTTTTGTCTCTTTGGTATGTGTCCTTTTTCTTTTAATTGTCAGTTTTTTTTTGGGAGTTTCACTAAAACACCCAAAATGAGGGTTGAAATTATAAAAAAACTCAAGCACTATTTAAACATATAAACACACCCAAAATCCATCATTACACACACTCAAAACCATTTATAAACACACCCAAAAAGTTAACTTTGGGGTTGATTTTGGGTGTGTTTCTATGTTTAAATAGTGTTTGGATTTTTTTATAAATACCTGTCTATGATTGGGTTTATTTATAAATTTGTATTTTTTTTTTCACTTTTATTATGCTGGCAACTATTGCAATCTCTCAAAAGTATTTTTTTCCCACTTTTATTTTTCTCAACTGAATTTTTTTTTAGTTTTTATTTTTCTTTATGAGTCAAAATTTGA